TGTCTGGCCCAGAGGCGCGGCCTGCAAGGATCCTTCCACAACCCAAGAGATTTGTACAGACTCTTGTTGGCAGCAGCTCTCAGTTGGCTCCACTTCAAAGCGGGGACGGCCCGGCTCCTCCAGGTGTCAGAAGCAGCTGGCACATTAGCAGAAGGCCTCTGGCAGGAAGGGGTGTTGAGCCAGCTGCCATCAACTGGAAAACGGCACATACGCACATACGGGTGACTTCGTCTCCAAGAGCTTCCTCCTTGAGGCCTCCGGGAGTGGTGACAAGTTTGAGTTCAGAGGGAAGGAGCTGTCTGCGGGATGTAGGGGCTACAACCTGGAGTTGTCTGTCACCAAAGGCAAAGGCAGACCTCTAAGCCTCCTGCCTGCCTTCTCCCACAGTTCTGCCGAGATTCCAGTGCCAGGTGCCAGATCTCTCATGGGGCAGAGTGTGAGTGTGGAGATGGACAGTACAGCACATGATGCTGCTAAAAGCACGTTTGTATAAGTCTTTCAGACTTTTCTGCCATCACAGTCCTCCAAACAGCAAACTTTTCCCCCACCAGAACCAGCACTACCAGGAGATACTGTTCTGTCTGCACTTGGGACAACACTGTCAGCTGGAAGAAGCTTCTTTTGGGAAATACAAGCCTTCAGGCTTCTGATTGAATTTCTGCAGCAACAGAAAGCTCACTCCTTCATAAAGCAGCCACTATCTCAGAGCTGAGCAACTTGAAAAAGTCTTGTAGAGCCAAACTCTAGACCCTTGTGACATCTTTCTCGGAGGCGGCCTTCAAAAGTCGGGTCTCAGCCCTCATTTCCTCCTTAGTCTTCTCTTCTAAGCTGAAGGGTCTAAATGCGGTCATTTGTTGCATATCATGGCCTGAAGACTCTGCCACTCTGACTCCTCATTCTGTGCCTCTGGTTTATCCCTCTTAAATGAACTGCCAGAGCTGAAGTAGTATCCAGAGGTCACCCGGCTAGGAGAATGGAAAGGGTACTATGGCTTCTCTTATTCATTTAGTCATGCTTCCCTTCATTCAACAAATATTTACTGAGTGACTGCTATGTGCCCTGCACTATGCTGGACCCTGGAGTCGAATAACGAGCAGATAGACAGAGGTGTCACTTGGTGGATCTTATAGTCCAGGGTCAAAGACAGACATGAACAGTATGAGGAGGTGGCAGAGAACCGTGGAAGCCAACAGCAGGGAGGCCTACCCTAGTCTGGGGTAGGGAAGACTTCCCAGAGAGGTGCTGTGTAGGCTACAACCTGAGGAATTAGCATCAGGTAGGCGAGGCGAGGGGCATGGAAGGCGGGGAGCGTTAAGAGTTAGAGTCACTGGCTTGTCTAGAGGGCCCGGGGAAGGAGGGAGCATAGGGCAGAACTGAAGGGTAGTGTGGTGGAACATAGTGAGGGCTGCTTCCTGTGACCTCCAGGAGTCTAGAGAGGAGAGAAGAGGCAGAGGGCGGAACGTGTGGGTGAGAACGGGGCCTCTGTTCTCAGGGCAATGGGAAGCCCGTGAAGGGTTTTACACAGAGCTGTAGAGCGGTCAGATTCTCTCATTTTAAAAAAGACCTTTCTGGCCCCAATATGGATACTCAATTAGAAGGAGGCAGGAGTGGTTGCAGGAAACTGGTTAGGTCACCCAGTTGTGACCTAACCTGGACCCTGGAGTCGAATAACGAGCAGAGAGACAGAGGTGTCACCTGGTGGATCTTATAGTCCAGGGTCAAAGACAGACATGAACAGTATGAGGAGTTGGCAGAGAACCGCGGAAAAAGGAAAAGAGGGTGGAGGTGGGTGTCGGATGGTGGCTGTGGAAGTGGAAAGAAGTAGGTGAGCTCAAGGGACATGTCAGGGGTGGGGCCGACAGGACTTGGTGAGTGACTGATGTGGGTGGGCAAGGGAGGGAGTTTCCAGGATGTCAGGAGGACTCCCAGGTTTCTAGCTGAGCGGGGTGGTGGGTGGTATTGCCGTTAATGAAAGCTGAGATCCAGTTGGCTTTCCTGGCAGCCAGTCTCCCTGGTTACAATCAAGAAAACCCCTCATTCCTTTTCACACGTACTGCTGGGACCCAGCCATATGTCCCATAGAAAGAAAGCCCCTGCCACTCTCTGCCTCCCCCAGCTAGCCTGCTGGTCCCACCTGACTGGTATAGGGTTCAGCCCACCAAGGAGCAGGGTCAAGACCAGAGCACACACAGCTGCCCGGCTCCGCGGAGGCTGCCGTTGCACCGATGGGTCTCCTGCCCTCTGCCGGCTGTGCGCTCGTTCTTCCCCCGCTGATGTTCGCAGTCAAGAATGGCCCAGGACAGAAAGCTGCAGGCCGGCTCCGAGGCTGGCAGGGCGGACCCTGTCTGTAGCTTCTAGCCTGGCTGTGGCTGAGAGAGGAGGATGCTTACAGCAGTTGTCCTCGAAGCCCTGGTGTGGCAGGGCTTGTTTCGGGAGCATGTTGGTCAGCAAGAATTACCACTTCTGCCGTTAAACAGTGGTGATGGTTGCACAACTTTGCGAATATACCGAAAAACAATATATGCTTTTAAAAGGTGAATTTTATGGTATTTAAATTCTACTGCGATATAAATAGATGAATAGGTAAAGTAAGAAATAGTAAATGGAGGTAACTGCTATAAACAGGAGCGCTGGGTCCAGGTTGATGATAAACAAGAGAAGCCAAGTAACAGCTTCAAAGGCTTTGGCTCCCCTTCGTGGTTTCCTGCTTAGGGATGTTCTCAGCCTAGCGCTCTTCCTTAGTAATTAACTTCAGGCCATTCGGGTTCTTAGCTGTCCTGGGAGTAGGGCGGGAAGGAAAGGTCACTGGCCTCTCTCCTCTGGGGACTTATCCTTCTCTGCTGAGCCTGGGACAGAAAAGCTTTGGGGTGCTGGTGGCTCTTCCTTCCTGAGCACTCTTGGAGCTCGCTCTTCCTAAGAAGTTTGGGTGTCTTTGCTAACCCGGGCCCACCTTACTTGCCCTTAATCTCTACATCTCTCGTCTCTCCCTCTGCATCCAGATAGGGCTTGTGCCCAATCTTATCCTTTTTGCTTGCCTGTGTTCTCCTCAGGATATGAGAAATCGGGGCGACTACTTGGCCTATGGCTCTGCTCTTGGTCCCACAAGCCACTGATAGAGGGACCAGGGCGCCCTCCTGTGGCCATAAGCAGCATTGCCTCTTTCCACCCTCTGGCCTATATTTATTTTCCAGCTAGAATTTTAAGGTTTGAGTCTATTAGTTGGGGCAATTTTTTAATTCCCCAAGAGATATATGAGGAACAGTTAGGCCATAGGCATAGGTGAAAAGAAAGAAGATGGATTAGCCACAGAAACTAAGAAATACATGTTAGCGTTTATGCTCTATTTTTATTTTTGAAATAGTCAGTGCGACCTAATGGAAAGTATATGGCCGGTGGTTCAGGCAAACTCACCAGCTGTGTAATGTAAGCGAGTTAACGTCTCTGAGACATAGTCTCGTCACCTATAAAGTGAGAATAATAACAAGACCTACCTCATAGGATTGTTGTGGGGTAAAATTTAATTAATGTAGGTTAAATACCTTGTACAGTGCCTGCCATGAAGCTGAGATACCTATTTCTACTGTTATCATTGTACAACTAAAGACTAGATATAGGAATCATTTTCGCTTTTCCAGGGAGATCAGAAACCAGGGCCAGCTGCCTTGCAAAACTCCAGAGGCCCCGCTCCCATTATATTCTCTCTAAAGCCCCTTCCCCAGAGGTGGGCAGTGTTGGCTCTCTCTGGAGCTGATGCAGTTGCCAGTTCGGGGACCCTCTGACATGGACGGCGAGGTAGAGAGCTTTAGAAAACTACACAAGAGAGCAAAGTAAAACAATTTTTAAAAGTAAAGATAAAGCCAGAAGGACAGCCAGAAACAGATTGGGGGCCCAGCTCCCCTTCAGTAGATGAGTTTGGCACCCCGCTTGGCACGGGGTGGAGCCCGGCAGGTGCTCATTTCCTTGCCTTCCTGTCCTCTCTCCGATGTGGCAATGAGCAGAGTATGAATATGGCCTTGGTCTGATCCCTTTCATAGTCATGTGTTTTTTTTCCTGCGAAGTGGATGCGCAGTTGGAGGTATGAGAGGTGGTCAACTTATGAGAGTGGACAGCAGGGAGGAGCAGTGGCCACCACAACGTCCCAAGATGGGGTGTGTTCTTTGACCCTCTCCAGTGCAGAGTCTCCAAAGCTCCTTACACTTGTCCGCCATCTGTGTCCCAGGGTGGAGGTGCCTGTAGCTCTTCTGGCCCTTGGTAGCTTATTAAAACTCAGTACCACTTGCCAAGACTCCCTTAAAACTCTTGGCTGTTCTTTTTGCCTTTTCTGATCAGCGGTATTTATTCTGAACTAAATGGTCCTCACTACAAGATGAAAGGATTTACGGCTTAAGTATATGAAGAGAAATCTTGGCTGCATTACAATTGCACCCTCTCCTTGCCACCCACCCCCACTCCTCCCTCATGTTCCATCCACTGGCTGGTGCCACAGAGACCGAACTGGAGCCTGCCCTTGGTAATGGGTCAGCTCAGTTTGGTTGCAGAGCCCAGCTGATGGAGAAGTGAGGTGACTGGGAAGAACCTGTTTTGGGGGAGCCATCTCCTGATGTCTTGCTGCCCTAAGGAAGACTAGAGCCCCAAGAATGGCTCACTCACATGCTTTCACTCTCACACACACACACACACACACACACACACACACACACACACACTCCCTCCCTCCTTCCCTCCCTCCCTGACCAGGATTCTCGTCCACTTACGCTGTCCAAGTGAGGTGACTGGAAAGAACCTGTTTTGGGGGAGCCATCTCCTGATGTCTTGCTGCCCTAAGGAAGACTAGAGCCCCAAGAGTGGCTCACTCACATGCTTTCACTCTCTCATACACACACACACACACACACACACACACACACACACACACACACACTCATTCATTCTGTCTGTCTGTCTGTCTCTCTCTCTCTCTCTCTCTCTCTCTCTCTCACATTTTTCTCTTTCCCCCTCAGGATCGTGCTGATGGATGATGCCATGGACTGCTTGATGTCTTTTTCAGATTTCCTTTTTGCTTTTCAGATCCAGTTTTACTACTCAGGTGAGAGTCTTCCGGGGCCCCACGTGGCTCCCGTGAGATCATATCTCCCTCTCCTACCCTGGGCCCTTTCCATCTGTGGGCCTGGCACACACACTTCTCCCGTGCTTCCGCCGGTGGTGTGCTTCACTGTGGGTCACTAACTGGATGTCTAGATCTCGCCGCTGGTGATCACAAGATTCAATCTGCAGAGCCTACACCCTCAGCCTCCTCAAGACATGGAAAACCACAGTGTTTCCAGCCAGCAGTGCAACAAATCAGTTTGAATGTTCATGACAGTAACAACAACAACAACACACACCACTGTAACGCTACCTAAATTCACTATTTATCGAAAACTTACTGTGTGCCAGGCTTAGCACTGAGGATTTTAATCCCACTGTAACGATACCTAAATTCACTATTTATCGAAAACTTACTGTGTGCCAGGCTTAGCACTGAGGATTTTAATCCTTACAACAGCCCTAAGAGGTAGGTCCTTTAAGAGAGAAGCTTATAGAGGTAAGCAGCCAAAGTCGCTGAGCTGGTAGGTGGCAAAGCCCAAACTTGAACAGAGGACTCGCTCCCAAGCCAGGGCTCTCAGGCGCTCTGCTGCGTTACTGCCATCGGCACGCTCTCCCTCGGCCCTGACGTGTGTGGGCGCACGTCTTCCACCCACACAGCTTTAAATAAGCACACACCAGTCCTATCTCACAGTCCCGGCCTGCTCCCCACTACACACCAGCTGTGCCCTTAAACCCTTTCTGGGATCAGGTGGATTAAAAATAGATGAATAAATACAAATGTGCAGCAGCTCACACACAGCAACATCGAACGGAATGTTGGGTTTAGAAATTGCTGACTCTGTCCATAAACAAACTTATTTAAAATGGCTCTTCCAGTAAACAGAAGGCTGTCCTTGGAGCCTGCACATGGCCTTCCTGCCAATCGGTGGCCCCAGCCAGCCCTGGCCTCAGGTGCCGCATTCTGTGTCCTTGATGGCAGCCCAAGGGCCTGGTCAGGCAGGGGCTGGAGCCTGGGGTCTCCCCACCTATTCTTAACAGCTCCAGGCTTTTATCTCCCATTTCTCTGAAGCTCCTGGGCCCTAGAGAAGGAGCAGCCATGTTTGGGAGAACCTTCTCCCCTCGCTGCTTCCTGGGCCTCCTTCTCTCATTGATCCCAGGACAAGGCAGCAGCGTTGGGCCCCAAGCATCACGACCGCACAGCAGTGTGTCAGTCAGCGGTGAGATGGGCCTTAAGTCACTGCTTACTAACAGTGGCTCTACTACTAAACTTTGAAAATGATTTTAAATGTTTAATAAATTAGCAGCTTGCAGCTTCCTCTTCCACACTGGTATTCCAGCATGCATTCTTGAGTCACAGAGGCAGGTGGCCTCACAGGATGGGGCTTACCAGTGCGAGCGTGCACATCTTCACTCTTCTAAAAAATACTTACAGTCATTTAATATGTGCCAGGCCCAGTGCCAGGTGCTGGGGCAGGCAGGTTGACGAGGCATGTGCCTGCCTTTATACAAGGATCTTCCATTCTAGCAGGGAGACAGAGTGAACAAATAATTACCCAGGAAATTCATCGTCGAGTAAGTGCTACAAAGAAGTACAGGGTGCTGTGAAAGTCTGTAATGGGAGATCTCACCTGGTCTAGGAATAAATGCCCAGAGGAAGGGACATTTGAGCTAAAGCGCATGTCATTGTCACCTCTCGTGAGTGCAGTCACACGAGGTTAAGGATTTCAGCTCCCAGGACACCATGCACTGAGCACTGATGCTGGTGTGGAGCTGAGCTAACAGAGAAGGGAAGACACAATGAAGGGATAAAGTATGTCCTCTCTGTCTGACCTGTGCCCCCTCCATCCGTGGTACCCAGAATTCCTGGAGAGTGTGGCTGCCATCTATCAGGACCTACTGTCAGGCAAGAACCCCAAGACGGTGATTGTGCCAACGTCATCCAGCGGGCAGCACCGCCAGCGGCCTGCCTTGTGTGAAGCCAGCATGCTGGAGGGAGTCGAGGCATCACTGTTCTCCCAGTGCCTAGAGAACTTGTGTGACCGGCACAAGTACAGGTGAGAAATGGGCACCTAGACCCCACTTTGTGGCCTGGGCTGCTCACCCTGGAACACATCTCTAGCAGGATGTTCTGATTGGTCCAGGGCTTCTAGGGCCCTTGATGGTCATAGTATAAATCAGAACAGTGCCATCTGCCCCTGGACCAGGCTGCTGACTGAAAGGCTCCCCAGCTGGCTCACTTAGGGAAGATTGCTTTCATTTGGGCAAGACCAGCTGTAGATGACCAGCTTGGCCCCTTCTTCCCTGGAGATCGATTGGCCTTGACTTTTTAGAGAGAAGGGAAAAAAACATGGACTGTACAAAAATTCACTCTACAGAGAGGGAGGTTTAGCTGTCCTGTGTGGCACAAAATCCCTTTAGGGACAGAGTAGCCAGTTTGGGTTTCTTCCAAGAAGAGGCTGTCATCTATTGCCAATTCCCTATCCCCTTCCTCCTACTTCCCCCTAGTGAAAGCACCAATTGGCGAACATGCCAGCCCTTTATGTCCATTGTCAAGGCCTTGCTCCTGGACATGTGCCATACTCCCCCAGGGTCTTAGGGCCCCAGGGCAGGCAGGCCCCTCCTCTTGGCTTTGGGCATCCTCCTAAGCCTGAAGGTATGGACGACAAGATGGCACTCCGCCTTGCTAGTCTTTGACTCTGGCATGTATTCTCTCTTCTAGCTGCCCACCCCCAGCACTTGTCAAAGAGGTCCTAAGCAACGTTCAGAGACTGACCTTCTATGGATTCCTCGTGGCTCTCTCCAAGCATCACGGAATCAACCAAGCCTTGGGTAAGCCAGAGCTGGCTGTGGCCAGCCTTTCCGGGCCCACAATACAAAGCCACGTAGGAGCTAGCCTCTATTGGCAGGCTGGTCCCTTGAGGAGAGGGTACTACCATCTCTGCCTTGACTTCCCAGGGCCAGACTCCAAGGCCTAGGGACAAGACTGTGCCCTCTTAGGCCTCTCACGCTCCCATGGTAAGGGACTGTTTTCCCTGCCCGAGGCCCTGCCCCAACATGAAGGCGCTTCTCCATGGCAGAGGCATGCCCAGCCCCTCCCCATAGAATCCCCAGTTCTGCTGTGGGGAGTGGCCTACAGGTTGGGCAGACACAGGGCTATTTATTCAGGGGCTTTGGAGATTAAATATCAAAGAGACCTGAATCCCATTTGTAAACAGGGCAGAGGTGTATCTGGGGAGGCCTTTTTCCCAACTGGGAAAAAAAATCTGACTAATCTAAAAGGGAGCAAAATGGGAGGCGGGGTTGGAAGGCCTGCACTGGCCCAGTTTTTTCTGTTCATTGTTTTATTCTCACTGGTTGGCCTCACCCCCCAATTCCCCTCCCACACCCATGGCTCTTCTAGGAGAAGAGTCACCAGGCCACCATCCAGTGGAGCCTGAGGGGTTTCTTATTTGTCCCCCCTCAAGTGGTATCCGGGTGTGCTTAGAATCTCCGGTTCCTGAGTCTCAAAGAAGAGAAATACATCATTCCCCTCCCTTTGCCAGTTGAGGGAATGGGGTAAAGGGAAGAAAATTTAACACTCATTAAATGCCAGTCACAGTAGGCCAAGTACTAGGCTAGATGCTTTAGCTCTTACATGATATAGAGCCTCTTGGGGTGCTCTGGGGTACACAGGAACACACGCCCCAGCAGGACTGACTGGGGGTCCACTCTGGCATTATGCCACCTGGCAGCCTAGTTACTCTCAGTTAGTGCTTGAGGCCTGCACAGGTCTGGGGACCCCTCAACCAAGTGAGGTTGGTAGCCAAGGTCACCAGATGGAAAACTAGAAAGGAGGCAAATAGGAGTCAGAAGAGCAAAGGGGTGGCAGGTGGGGATTTGCTTAGGTTTTCCTTCATACTCCTAGGTAACTGACCACCCTCCCTTCCTTTCCTCCAATCACAGCCATTAGGAAGAAAAGGAAAAGCTAATTAGCATCTGAGTCACAGCCTGCACTAACCACTTGCCCTCACTTTTTCTAAGCCCTTTAAAAAGGACAATCATTCAGCTACCTTTACAGAGCACTAATTCTGGGTAGAGTGGGAGAGAAAAAGCAGCATATGGTCTCTGCCCTCCGGTGTATGAGAGATCTGGAGATACTCTGGCTGCAGCCAGTTGTCAGCCGTATGTGGACAGTGGTTGTCCTCTTCCCTTAGTCCACAAGGCACCCCACTAACAGCACGAAATGAGAGGGTTCCATGGAACACAGCTTGAAAACCACTGACTTAGAGCAAAAGGGACCAGGAGGCATCATCTGAAAAAGTTTTGGAGAGGTCGGGGATTAAACTAGAGCCCAATGGGTAATATTAAGAGTGAGGCTTTCTAGAGACCAACACTGTTAGTCACCAGAACTAGGTTCTGACCACCAGAGCGCTCCTTTCCCTTGGCAACTGGCTGGTGAGAATCTTTGTCTCTGCAAACTTCAGCTCCACCTTCCCGCCCACTGTTAACAGCTCCCAGGAGCACCCAAGACTCTCCTTTCACCTTTCCCCAATATCAAAGAATTAATTCCCTTAGTTTAGAGCTGAGGAAACCCGCTCAGAGAGAGATGGGACAGCTCTTCTCCTGGTGGCTTCTGGCCATGCAGAGTTTGTTCTTCCTCTGACCCAGCCTTCTCTTCTTACCCCAAAGACCCTCCCTGGAGGAGCTGAGGCAGCATTTTTTACCCTTGTCTTCAAAGTGGGGTCACTCTGATTTAGGGGCACAAATCTGGGTAATTTCTGGTATTTGTCATTAGCCTGGGCCATATCCTGTATCTCTGGCATCTTTTCAGCCCAGTACTGGGGCCTCAAGGAAGGACTCAACCCCAACACCAGCTCACAACCCACCATCTAGTCTTGGAAGGGGATCACCTTGTCTGTGCAGTGACCTTGAGGTTTGGGGATGTCTCCTTTGCTGCGGTCTCTGCCCCAAGTAAGGGAGGGCAGGCAGCGGGGTTATTAAATGTAATAAAAATTAAATGTATCCAACAGTCCCCAAGACTCCCTGCCCCCACAGCAGTTCCCTTAAGAGCACTTCCCCATTTCTTGTAAATCAATCAGCCCTCCAAGGGTCAGCAGAATAGGCAAACATGAGGGTGAGGGGCATGGAGGCATCTGCTGGGAGAAGGGATGACTGGAGCCGGGCTGAAGGACCCTCATATTAAGTTTTGTGCCCCCAATTACCTCTTAGGAGCTTTGCCTGACAAAGGGGACCTGATGCATGACCCAGCCATGGACGAGGAGCTGGAACGCTTGTAAGTGTCAGGTGGGACGATGCCACCCCCTTGTGGGGGCCAGACATGCCGGACGTGGCAGTGCACCCTCACGGGTCACACAGTGCTCGTCCATAACACCCCACGTCAGTCAGGGTAGGGCTTGGGGGCCAGCAGAGGCCCGAGGTATCCTGAGCCCCTTGGGAATACAACCCATGGTTTCATCTAAATGCACGCATGAGTGTGGAGGTCTTGGTCTCTGGACAGGAGGCACCTTGCTGCCCTCTGGGCTTCTTCCCTCCTTCAGGCTGGCCCAGATCCCAGGCCTGGTCAACTCAGTCACTGCCAGTCCAGAGGTCAGCTGCCTGCCTTCTCGGACCCCTCACCGGGCTGGCTTTTCCTGGAGACCCCTCCATCACGCCCGCAAAGTGGACACAGAGAGTGATGGCTCCACTGAAGAGACAGACGAGTCCGAGACTTGAGGAGTCTGAAGGGTCTCCTCAACAACACCCTGTACCCAGCTCCCACCCAGCCCTTGGGCTCCAGCCCAACCTCCTCTCCCAACCCTGTGCCATGCTGCCCTCTGCTGGTGAAAAGGCTGAATAACAGCTACCGCCCAAGACCTGCCAGAAGGGTTCTGATACCAGCCAACCCAAGCAGTGACCCAAGAAAGTTAACAACCTACTCTCCCTGTTCCTGTCAGCCTTTGCGCTTTAGTCAGGCCCCAAGCTGACAGCAGATTGAACCAAGACCACCGGGAAGGTAACTTGGCTTTAGCCATTTGCTGGCAGTCCCCCACATAAAGTTCATCTCCTCACAGCAACTCTGGAAAGCGGGAAGACCATGAATAGCCACATGGGGCCTTGCATGCTCAGGGGTGATACCAGTGCGAGTATTAGGAGGACATAATCACAGTGGCCTTCTGCTGCAGGAATAGTCACTAGCCATGAAGGGTGGGCAAGTAGACAATCTCTTTCAAAAACTGCTTCGTCTCCTATTAGTTAAATGTGAAATGAATAAAGTCCCTTGTGTCTGGTAAGTGGTGAGTCTGAAGCCACTAGACTGAAGAGGGGGTGAAGGGAAGGGGCAAGTTTGGGTTTGGGGGCCGAGTCCCAGCTCTTCTGGTGGGACTGGGAGGTGCAGGCCAGAGGAGCGCCCACGCTGGAGACCCGCCTCAGATAATGAACAGGGCTTCCCTCCTGCACAGGACAGCAGCCCTTCAAAGAGGTTCTCACAGACGGAAGGGGTCTTCAGGAAACAAGCTCAGAGGATTCAAGACCAGGCTCCCATAACTTTAACCCATTTCCCGTGTGCCCCGAGAATACTCGCCTGTAGCGCATGCAGCTGCAGCGTTTATCTGGAGATAACTCACGAATTACAGTCCTAACCCTACCCCCAAAGTTTGCCATGACATTTCTCATTTTTATTATTATTTTCACATCGCTCTAGTATATCAAGTTTTGGGAAACAAATGACATCATTCTATTTATAGCATTGTTTTTAGTAGTGATATTTCCATTTACAAAATATAGTAATTCTCGATTGCTGAAAATGTCAAATCCTAGAAATACGTAGCATTCCTATGCGTGATGACATCTGTTAGCCAGATTCATTTGATGAATCCAATTTACGTATACATTTGTTAAATTAGGATGAGACAAATTCTTTAGAAATAACTCCAAGAAGTTTTTATATTTTATTTTCACATTGAAAACCAATCGAATTTGCTTCAGCTTCAAAGAGCACGTTTATGTAAAATTAACGCTAGCAGGGAGCTGCACTTTTTTTTCTGAACGGGAAATGGGTTAAAGACCTTGCCACAAAGGGTCGGCACTGCACAGCCTTCTAGCCAGTTTCATTAAACATTGGCCAAGCACCTGCTCAGTGTCAGGACCGAGGGGTGCAGCTGTGAGCAAGACAGGAACGAGGAGTGCAAGCCTCCAGCCAAGACTGAAGGAAGGCAAGACAAGTGATCTTCAACTCCTTTGAATGACCCAGGGGTCCTCCAGAAAGTAAAACCAACCGAGGGACTCAGGCAGAGCAGGCTGCCTCCTCTGAAGCGAAACCAGGGGTCACCACCACTGGGTACACACATCTTCCTGGGCTCATTTCTGCCCAGACCAGGCCCCTGCCAGGAACTGGCTCCCAAAGTCCTGCAGTGCCAGGCTAGGACTGGAAGTTCCAGGCCTACCAAAGTTCCAGGTCCTACAAACATCTCCAGCTGATGAAACAGCTGGAAAATCCTCCCCTGCATCTGAATCATCAGGGGAGCTTGTTTACAATGCAAATTACTGAACACCAGCTTGGGATGGGGCACAGGATCTGGCTTAGAACACTGGGACCATTCCAAAGCTGGAAGTCCTAGATCCGGAAATCACTGGCTCAGAGCCCTACGGCTCCCTCCACCCATCCTTTCTCAACCGTCCGTCTTCCAGCTTAGTGGTTTACAGCGGTACCCCGAGGACCCCTAAGGTGGCACAGGGGTTCTAACAGCCCCTATAGGGGAGAGTAGTTACCAAGCCAGGGGATTATACACATATACATCCTTTCTTCCTGGATTTAAAAGGATTCCATTAAGGTCTGTATATTTTATTATTAAACTCCACTGAGAAACATGCCCCCACTCAAGCCTACTGTTGGGATGAGGCACAGGGCTGCTGAGGTAGCTCACCTGCCCACAGCCACATGGCACTGCAGATGAGTTAAAGGGCCAACTAATACCAGCTCTTTCCTCCGCGTGCAACAGGGTGGTGAGGTCGAGGCTGCACCGGACCTCGCGGCAGCACAGGGCCAAGGAGCCAGGGGCCTTTGGCTTTCAGAGAAGAGACAAGCTGGAGGCCCTGGAGAAAGTGCCCTCAGCTTTGGCACCAACGCCCTACCCGTATCGGTGGGAGCCCAGAGAGTGAGGCGAGGGGCCCACACTGGGCAGGGAGGCAGGATCCAGAGAGGACACTACTACACTCCAACAGGGGCACAAGGCCCCAGAGGGGCTTTATTTGACACTACTATGTTTCAATACAAACAGTCCAGAAAGAAAGTCAAGTCCCTTTGGGGCAGGGTGTGGTGGGAAGAGTGGTTTGTGTTGCTTGGGATCCCAACCCTCAACCCAAAGGGGGTAGGGTGGGCCCAAACTGCCAGCATGGCTGGGAAAGATGGCACCAAGGATGACACAGTGCATGGCCCAGGGGCCAAGGGGTGAGGCTTACAGCTCTGTAGGCACCTCGAGCTCACACTGGTGGGGTGCTGTCCAGGCCCCCCTGAGCCCAGGATGATGCAGAGAAAGTGCTGAGCCCCAGGAGCCTGCTTCTGTCCCTCATGTCCTCTGCTTCCTTGGCCATCATTATGCTCACAGCATCCAGAGGAGGGTGCCACAAGGCTGATGAGACCCGCCATGGCCACCAAGCAGAAGAGAAAAGGACAGAGTCTCAGGAAGGGAGAGAGGGTCCTGTGGTCCATATGGATGGTAAGGACTCCAAGACACCCAAGAGGAAAAGTAATCCTCTAAGTGACCATGGTAAAGTGAGGTGGTGAGACAGCAGATCATCACTCAGGCCTCCAGTCTGATCCCAAATGAAATCTTTAGGTACAAGGTAGTTTCTAGCCCTTAGTAAGGCCCAGATGAAGTCGTTCCCCTCCCCTGCCCTCTCACAGTGCCCAGAAGAGGCCACTGGAGCAGCAAGAGCAGCAGCAAGTCCAGAGCCTCTCTCCCTGGGGGCTGGTCTACAGCTTAACTGTAGACCTCCCCGCTGGTTCCAGAGGGCAGGGGCCAATCCCTAGGCGACCTAGAAGGATCCCAGAGCTGGCGAAAAAGCCTTATACTTTTCAGTTGCCCTACTCAAGGAAGGGCTGGACCCAGACAAGCCATCCTGAGGGAACGACCTCCCCTCACTCCATGTGGTAGTACAAGCGAGCAGCAGCATTGGGGGGTAGGACTGGAAGGACAATAACCTAGCACACGGGAGGGGTGTGAGGAGAGAAGAAAGGGCTCAGTTTACGGGCAGAGGTCAGGGGCTGGTACTGCCCGTCCCCCTCACCCGAGATCCTCAAAGGCCACCCCGCTCACACACCGCACATAAGTAACAATTCCTCCCCAGCTTCCAAAGGCAAGCTTCCCTGGCCTGGTAACCAGGGGGTTTTGCTGCTGTCACCACGGTGCCTGAGCCACGAGCCTGGATCAGTAGGAACCATAGCGATCCTGGGGGCGGGGAGAGAGGGAAAGAAAGTCAGCATCGCCAACCCTGGCAGCTTCTCAGCATGCACACACTCCCCCAACACAACTGGCAGCACTGGGGTACTGGGGCCAGCGGGTGAAGAACACCGATCTCACCATAGCAGAGATTGTTTTATATTTACTGTGGCCCAGGAACAGGGTTGTGGCCAGGTCCCAAAGGGGAAGCCCTGCCTGATCTCACAGAAGCTGAGGAAAAGAGTAGTCCAGGTGACAAGACTGGGGGGAAATCAGTACAGACGTGGCTTCATCTTCAGGAGAAGCCCAGCCCTAGTACTGAGCTCAAAGGAAGCTGCCCCTCCCTCTCTCCTTTGGGCTGAGGGGGGCTACCCAGTAGCAATGCCTGGATGTGGTGAGAAGACCAACCTCCCAGCACTACTCTTAGGCCCACCCACCCCAAGTCAAGCACCCCCAGCCTTACCTGCAAAGAATTCATCACACCATTGGCCAGCACAGCCATCTTCCCAGCCACAGACTTGACACCCTGCTTAAACTGGGCAATGTCAGCTGTGGGGAGCACATTCCCCAGAGATACGCTACCTGTAAAAGCAAGGGAAGGGGTGACCCAGAGCCCTATGGGAAGCCCTTCCCAGTCCACAGTGCCCTCCAGCTCTGCTCATAAGCCTTGCTTGGTGCCCACCACGCCACTGGGGCCTTACCTCCTCCATGAGCTCCATCCACGTCCCCAAAGAGGTCTGAAGAGCTGATGGCGCTACTGCCTGAGAGCTGCTGTAGCCGTGACCTGGCTTCATACTATGGTGAAGAAAAGGCAAGGCCTGGAGAGCTTTTGGGTGATGACCCAAGAACTCAAAAACAGGAAAGCCACCCTGGTGCTGAAGCCCAAAGCACTGGCAGGGAGGAAGGTCTTGCTTTACCTGCTGCGTCCCACATCAGGATGGACACTACTTACCTCTGTATCCACCTCCCGCCCAAAGAACATGTCAGATGAGATGGCTTTGGCTCCTGCAAATTTCTGACGTGCTTCACTGGACTCGAGGCCCGAGCTCCGGCTGTCCACTTCCCTCCGATTTGTGACTCTGAGGGTGGATGTGGGACACCGACTCTAACCCTTCCTGTTACTATCAGTGGACAGTATTGCCACCCCATTACTAGCAACGGCAAATCTGGGGGTGCTTACCTAGGCCCTGTCTGACTTGCTCTGGGACTCATGAGCCCTCTCCCCTGGATGAGGCCCCTGTCTTCTCCACATTAAAGCCAAAGCACAGAGAGCTTGTGTCACCTCCCCCAGGCAGCGTGGAAATGTGGTTTGGAGGGGCCTAGGCTTCTGCCCCAAACCACTAGTTTCTTCAAGGTCAAGGATGTCATAATATCACTACTGCTAATCTACTCCTAATTAAAACTGGCCTAACACTAGGGTAACCATATGTCTCAGTTTGCCTGGCTTTATACTTAACACTCCTGGCACAATTAATAGTAACCCCTTTTACTCTCAAAAGCATCCCAGTGTAGGAGAAAAGGCATCGTATGGTCACTCCTACCTAGCACTGATACACAGACACTGGGCTTAGTGGTTTCAGGTTTCATTACATTTAATCTTAATCCTTCAGCGGCCCTGTGAAGTCACTGCTTATGTTCCCATTTTACAAATAGATGACTTGCAGATAATTAATTAAACATTGCTCAAATTAAGATGGAATAAACTTTTAAGGAAAAAAATAAGATGGGGGTCAGAGACACATAACCCTTAGGAAGTCAGAATGCAGAAAATCAGGCCCCTGCTGTGAGAGAAATGGACCTTGAACAAGAGGCTGCTAGGCCCTCTGTTATGATACGCACAGCTCAAACCAAAGCTCGATCGCTGTCTGATCTGGTGGCCACTAGCCACATGTGGCTATTTAAATTTGTTTAAATTAAATTAAAAATGTACTTCCTCAGTTGCACTAGCCACATTTTAATAACTCAGGAGCCACACCTAGTGGCTGCCACACCGGACAGTGCAGACAGGGAACACCTTCGTCGTCACAGCAAGATCAACGGCATAGTACTGCCCTAGACCACTCCACCTTTCTGAAATAGGCCGGATGCTTGAGATGGTCACTTCTGGCTCCTTCTCCTCCATCCGCTCCACACCCCAGGTGGCATCTGTATCCCAGCGGGAACCAAAACTTTCCCCCAAGGAAAACGGGTTGTCCTTGTACCTAGGGAGACAGTAGAATGGCTCAGAGAAGCCTGATGAGAAACATGGTGGGCAAGTCTGTGGCCCAACAACAGCCTTACTTTGGGGGTCCAGAGGCGAAGGTACCAACATCGTCAAACAAGTCCAGCTGCGAGCGGGAGGATTTTGCACTCACTGGGGTTTCCTGCTCAATAACCTGCATCTCAGACAGCACCGAGTGAGAGACAGAGCTGTGGAGAAAAGCAGAGCCAGGCACTAGTGTCACTGCCCAAGAGAAGATGCCCAGCACAGCTGGCATAAACCTGAGTTCTCCTTCGCTGGGCACCACCCAGAGCCTTCTCCCTCTACCTGCGCACAGGGCTGGGCCAGGCCCAGCAGGGAGCGCTCAGAACTGTGCTAAACTAGAAAGCACACCCTCAACTATCACACATTTGCTTTATTTTTCTCAAAATAAGGTTTCCCTAACAAATGCCCATTTACCTGTTATAATTCTAATGTGCACCAAATGATAATGCTGTCTTTAGAAACAATGAACAGACTTGCTGCACTACAACCTTCACCAAGATAGATGCATACACATAAAAAGGAAAAGATAAAAAATGCCCCAGAATCAGGAAAATGCCGGCATTTTTAAAAGCATGAAAGGATGAGTTCTTAATCATCTCATCCTTTTAAAAAGAAAACATTTCAAAGTACAGAGCCTGGCCTTATGCAGGAAGACCTGGACCTGCTATGTGGTTGTCCAGTGAGAAGCACCGAGCTGGGCAGGCAGTAGCAACTCTCAATGCCTCTCTTCCTGTGTTGTGATCCACAGAGCTGTTTTAAGGATTAATTTCACTAAATTCATTAAAAAATATCTGCAGCTTTTAGCCGGCAGAACCCCAAGGAGTGAATATTTTGCAACAGGGTTTTAAATTGGGTGGGCTGGGTTTAAATAAAAGAGCCTTTCACACTACAAAAAAGAAAAACTGAAAAATTGTTCATACCCTTTAACCCAGTAATTCCTGGAACCAAAGAAAGGAAAGGGAGGAGACCTACAGTTCTTTTCGGGATTAAAATTGTATTTCCCTGATTAGCTGTGGAATACACTAGGAGCACACAGGCTGGAAGGGAATCACTAAAGTCCAACCGGCACACGTTCTGAAAGACTAAGCAGAAATACCCAGCCTTACCTTCTTCCAGAGAAAGAGCATAATGGCCAAATACACTGAATTTAGAATCAAACAGTTGTGTTCAAAACCTATTTCTGCCAATTACTAGGTTTGTGCGCTCCAGACAAGTTGCTTAATTGCTCTGAGTCTCAATTTTCTCATCTGTAAAAAGGGATAACACCACCTTCTGCAGTGGACTGTTGTGTTTAAGTAATTAAGGCCAATGGTGGGGCTCACGCCCCCTCAAAAGTAGCAACATAAGCTAACTGCAGCCAGGATTACTGGCTCCACCACTGGTAGATATTCCAATTTTTAAGAGATCAAAAATCTAGTATCACTGGAATCTCTAGTTAACGCTTAGTGTAGAGCAAACAAAACATGTAAGAGACTGAGAGACTGGTTTGTAGCCTTGTTTTTGTTTAGGAAAACCAGAGCAACACAAAGCCAGTGGTCCTGAGACAGGAAGGGTACTGTCAACTAGAGGGCATTTCAATGTCAGGGGTATTTCCGGATGTTAGTGTCTGGCAGTACTACTGGCATTGAGAGGGCAGGGATTAGAGATGTTAAAAGCCCTGCAATTCTCATCAGGCAGGTCTTGAAAAATAAAGAACTATCCCACCAAAGTGCCATTAGCACTCTCGTTAAGAAATATCACCTGAGACTTGGATAAATCGAAAGAGCAGCTGATCCTGTGTTTCATTCATTCAACAAATAGTGAGCACATACCTATTATGTGCCAAGCACTGTACTAAGTGCTTTAAGACAATAAGTGAAGCCATCTTTTCAGGCATACTAAGCCCAGAACCCCAAACTGCTAGCAGGACCTGCAGTGCTTCCCAGAACGATGGCATTTCCCTGCCACACCCCGGAGCTGAGCCTCACCTTCGGGATACCAAGCCCATGCCCAACCTCTCTGCCTGCTCTCGCTTCTTCCCTTCCAGATTCTGCAGCTTCTTTTCCTCCTTTTTACGGTCAATCTGGAGCTCCTGGTAGGCCAGACGCATGGAGGCGACCCTTGGAGGGAACAAATGTTGTCAGAGCGGCACCCATCCTGACTTGTCCTACCTGCCCACCCAATCCCACAGGAGCCGCAGGGCCCCTCTGGCAAACACTCACACGGACTCCTCAGCCTGCTTCTTGGCATCAGCCACCTGCTGCTCACGGAGCTTCTCTGCCACCTGGGCCTGCCGCTCAATCTCACTGAAGCTCTGGCTGCTCACCTTTTGGGCCCCTAAGCCTTTCTTGGCGCCCAGCTAGGAGGAAAATTATGTAATGGGGGACTTGCCAAGCACAACGTCCTCTGTTCCCTCCCAGGCATGGGTACTCTAGCTACACCCACAAGGAAAGGGTTCCTTCTTAAAGTTCAGGGTAAAAATCAGAAGCCCAGTCAGCACAGTCGAAAGGGAGAACAGGGCCTGTGCTAGAGCTGGGTATGAGGTGGCTCACACAACCCCAGCAGAGGCCTCAGGGCCTGACAACAGCTAATGCTGACCGGGCTCCCCATGTGCCAAGCACTCCAGGTACACGATCTCTGACTCCTCTCCTTCAAAGAGCCCCTTAAAGAGAGGCACCTTAACAGCCCTTGCACAGTTAAGATTCAGAGAAGTAGAGTACCTTTGCCAAAGTCATGTAGCCAGTAAGTGGTAGGGTCAAGGGGTGAACCAGGCAGTCTGACTCTGGCTCCTAAGCACTCCACCAGACCGCCTCTCCTCACCTACCCCTTTCTTAGCTGCTGCTGGCTTCTTCTTGCCAATGAGGGAGGTTTTCAATTCTGCATGAGAAAGCAGGTGGGGCATGAGTGAAGACAAAGGGAGGTCAGAGGCAGCAGCTCAGTCCACGCCATGCAGTTTCTTGGCAAGAGCTTCTAAAAGGAACAGCTTCAGGCAGGGAAAGGCAAAGCTGCCACCACCAGTTCCAACTAATGGAACAGTGCTGGGACAGTCCCAAGCCAAAGGCAGACAAGATGAAGGGAGGTTACTGACTCCCAGCAGATTAAGACAAGAACTAGACCTGAAGCAGCAGAGACCAAGTCCCTGAACCAACATGAAGACGGCTAGGCAGGGGGCAGGTGCCGAACATCAGCCTCGGTTCCTAAAGCGGGGAGCTGGCGTGCAGGGGGCCAGGCTCCCAAGCGGCTGTTGGTTACCTCTGGCAGGAAGAGCCCCTTTAGGTGACAGATACATGGACTCTGGAGAGAAACAGACCTATGGCTAAGAGCCTCCACACAGCTCCCAAGCCCAGAGGCCAAAGTTGTTCCCGGAGGCCCCTACAGAACCTCGCTTTAGACCAAGCCATGCCAGTCTTCTCATAGGGTCAGTCTGACAGTCATTCTGCTGGCTTCCTGCCTCAATCCCCAAGGGTCAACAGAACAAACTGAGGTCGGCAAATGGATCGTTCACCCTGAACCAAGTCTGAAGGACAGTAAGGAAAGAGTAGAAAAGAGCTAAAAGGCCAGGGACTAGCTGAGAAAGGGCAATGTCGCCTCCAGCCAGGAGCAGCTCAGAGCTGTCCTCCCATCCCATGAAATGAACCAGACAAACCAATCCCACCTCGGACCTCAGGGCTAAGCGTCCAGTCTCATGCTGACCTCCCCACACTTTGGTTAGACCCAGCCCCATACCCAGAGGCATACCCCAGACCTTGCACACCAGCCCACCCATGTTCACCATTCAAAGGGCCGGGTTCTAAAGTCCTTGTAGTCAATGTTGCAACCACAAATTCAACCCCAGTCTCTGCTCCAGAGAGTTAAGGTGCTCAGCCTCCTGGGGCCCCAGTCCACAAGACCAGGCAGCAGCAGCACATCTGAGAAGAGCCCTCGAGACCCACCCTCTCCCAGTCACCCCACACCTGCCAGTTATCATACTGACCCAGAGAGGCTTTGGGTGAGGTGCCAAGCAAGTCCGTGTTGGGGCCATGCTCTTGCTCTGTGGATACAATGGAGGGAGTGAGGCTGTAAGGCTCAAAGCCTCCTGTGACTTCCCCTTAAGGGAAGTGACAGAACAAGAGTAGGGGGCACTGACTTTCCTCAGCTTGCTGAGACCACCAAAAAAAAAATAAAAAGAATGCCCACCACTTCCTCCAAGGGACTGAAATGAATCCCAGCCCACTCAAAGGATATAGGAGACACCTCCACTCCTAGTCCTTTGACGAGGTGTCCCATTCCCATCCCCGACTTCTTTGCCAAGACCAGGACACTCGGTTGGAATCCTGGCTCAACTCACGTGCCAGTCCACTGGTCTCTGCAGACAGGGCTGACTGCTGCATCTCTGCTGGATCAGGAGCTGGTGCATTCCAGGCAGGAGGCTGAAAAGGAGGCCAGATCACAGAAGCCTCAGTGAGCCACTCCTGCTGGCCAGGAGCACCAAGAACCTACAAGTACCCAGGTCCTACTCCAAGCCCATGAGGAAAGGAGACTAGAGGTTAGAGAGCAAAATTATAGTTGCTATTCACTATGGAAGGAAGCAGTAGGAAACTAGCAGCCATCTCTACCCCTCCACTGTTTACTTAGAACCAGAGCTCATTTCCCTAATTTAATAACAACTACTGGGCACTTACAATGTGTCAGGCACAAGTCTAAATCCTTTCACACATAACCACATTTAATTACAACAAACCCTGTGAAGTAGATACATCTCTATTGTAAAGATGGGGTTTTGAAACGTTAAGTGACTTAGCCATCATCCTAGAAAAGCCAAGTAGAGGAATAGGGATTCAAACTGAGAGTCTGGCATCAGCACCCAGTGCCGAACGAGAGGAAACCTTCTCCCATGGTGGGTTGCTGGGGAGGGAATCCTTTCATTGTCACCAACCACAGTGCCTTT